AGGCTCTTTTATAGCTGAATATGGGGGTTACGAAAAACACTACCAGCATGGAGGAGGCAACACTTGAAATTGGAATGGGTAAGCTTATGTTACAATGTCAACATGTCTTTTTCCCTTCTTGAGTTTAATGGAAACTGAAATGCTGTAAGATCTTTAACTTCTATATGTAAATATCATTGATTGTGCATGATTACTGAACTCACTACTATGCAGAATATAGAACTGTCTCTGGAGTTGCTGGACCACTAGTTATCCTTGATAAAGTGAAGGTTAGTTTCCCTTCTTTTCATTTCTTCTTTCTCTCACTCTTATTTTGCCCATAGATATTCAAACATTTATACATGTTATATATCTGTATACAAACTACTGATAAACATTTGGGTATTCCTCTTTACATAATCACAGGGACCAAAGTATCAAGAGATTGTGAATATTCGTTTAGGTGATGGTTCAACCAGACGTGGTCAGGTCTTGGAAGTTGATGGAGAGAAAGCTGTTGTCCAGGTGATCAGTTGTATAATTTATTTTGATTGTATGATAAACAATCTGCTTATCATTTATTCGTATATATGTTTGTCTGCATTTATGATGAAACAAATATTCAATTTATATTGACCAGGTTTTCGAAGGAACATCTGGAATTGACAATAAATTCACAACTGTTCAGTTCACTGGGGAGGTACACACAACTTCCATTTTATGTCTTTTTTATCTTTTTGCCAAATGAAATCTTACTTTCTAAAAATACAATTACAGGTCTTAAAAACTCCTGTTTCAATGGATATGCTTGGGCGCATATTCAATGGCTCTGGGAAGCCAATTGATAATGGCCCTCCTATTTTGCCAGAAGCCTACCTGGATATTTCTGGTAATAACAACATACTCTGAACCCAACTCACAGGAAAACAAAACCCAAAAACCATAATTAACTAAACTTTTTGTAATATATTATTATTATTTCAGGAAGTTCTATCAATCCTAGTGAGAGAACATATCCAGAAGAAATGATCCAAACTGGTATCTCCACAATTGATGTGATGAATTCAATTGCTAGAGGACAAAAGATTCCTTTGTTTTCTGCTGCTGGTCTTCCTCACAATGAGATTGCTGCTCAAATCTGTCGTCAAGCTGGTTTAGTCAAGCGATTGGAAAAGACTGAAAACTTGCTTGAGGTATTATTACAAGAAATAGCAACGTACTTTACTCTTTACTCTTTTTTTTTTTTTTTTCAATGTGGAGAATCTACTTTTCTTTTTCACCCATAGTAGCAATCTACATACATTTCTTTACCCCTAATAGCAAAAGGTAAGTATGTTGCTATTATAGGTGAAAAGAAAATAATACTTTGTTATTTTTTGTGATTTTTGTTTTTTACTCGAAAGTGAATTTTATGTGATTTTAGCAGTCGGGTGGAGAAGAGGACAACTTTGCCATTGTTTTTGCAGCCATGGGAGTAAACATGGAGACTGCACAGTTTTTCAAACGTGATTTTGAGGAAAATGGCTCCATGGAGAGAGTGACTCTTTTTCTAAATCTTGTAAGTGTTTGATCTGTTTATTACTCTATTGTTGTTATTATCATCAAATGATGCTTATTTTTTGACATTATTTTAATATATACAGGCCAATGACCCTACAATTGAGCGTATCATCACTCCCCGTATCGCTTTGACAACAGCAGAATATTTGGCATATGAATGTGGGAAACATGTTCTTGTTATCTTAACAGATATGAGTTCTTATGCTGATGCTCTTCGTGAGGTAATGAATCTTTTTCATGTTATCTGAATATATATATATATATATATATATATATATATATATAAGTATTTATGTGTTTACTTTTAATTTAGGTGTCTGCTGCTAGAGAGGAAGTGCCTGGAAGGAGAGGGTATCCTGGGTATATGTATACTGATCTGGCAACTATCTATGAGCGTGCTGGAAGAATTGAAGGCCGAAAGGGCTCCATCACACAGATTCCAATTTTGACTATGCCCAATGATGGTATGTATCATTTTTATCCTCTGTTTCATATGAATTATGATGGAATGGAATGGGTCATTACATTCCATTATCATGTTTGCTTGCTTTGAGGAAATGGAACAAGTCATTCAATCATGTTGTTTGTTATGTACAAATAAAAAAGTAAATGAAATCAAATTGTTAAATAAAGAAAAAAATATTGTTTTATAAAAATAATTTTTAATCCAATAAAAATATATTGCTAAGTAAATTACAGATGAACATATTTTATGTCGTATATGTATTATACACAGTTAAAAAAGTTTATCTGTAACTGTAAAAAGATTGCTTACACATATTAAAAGATAAAATAAAATTTAATACCATGAAATCTTCAGTTACTTTTGGAAATAACAAAAAATAATTTAATTGAAGTTTTGAAAAAAAAAAATGAAAAACATTATTGATATAAAAGATTATATCATTCTATCCTTTAAATAAAAAAAAAACACTCCTCCCCTATGGTCTATGGAATGAAAATCAGCCATGAGAAGGAATCACATTCCATTCCCTCTTTCATTACTTAAGGAAGTTGCTTGTTATTTTTTTGTTTTAGATTTGATTTGTAGTTGGGTACTAATTAGTGATTGAATTAATCAGATATTACACATCCCACCCCTGATCTTACGGGTTATATCACTGAAGGACAGATATACATTGACAGGCAGCTCCACAACAGACAGGTAAGATGATCATGGAGCTTTATTTCTGATGCTTGATTGGTTTTCTTTTTATTAAACCTAAAACTGAAAAGTGAAAAGTCTATTGATATGATGATTTAAAAAAATAAAATGACAGATTTACCCTCCAATCAATGTGCTTCCATCCCTATCTCGATTGATGAAGGTAAGCCTAAACCTCTTGTTTATCCCGACTAAATAAACCATAAGGGCTTTTTTTTGTAATTAGAGGTTGTATGAATGATTTACAGAGTGCTATTGGTGAAGGGATGACTCGTAGGGACCATTCTGATGTCTCCAATCAGGTCAAGATTCTTTTTTCTCTCATATAATATAATATACCCCTTCAAAAATTCAATAACTTCATATTGTATAAATGAATGACGTTTTTACCCTTGTATTGTAATTTGTATGTTCACAGCTATATGCAAACTATGCCATTGGTAAAGATGTCCAGGCCATGAAGGCAGTGGTTGGAGAAGAAGCTCTCTCTTCTGAGGATCTGGTGAGTTTCTCTCTTTCTGTGACTGTGATAAATTACAAGGGATTAAAGTAGACAAACGTGATAGTTGTTTGCCAAAAATGAAAATTTTATATCATTTTCAGCTGTACTTGGAATTTTTGGACAAATTTGAGAGGAAATTTGTGGCACAAGGAGCGTATGACACACGAAACATCTTCCAGTCACTGGACTTGGCATGGACACTTCTGAGAATCTTCCCACGTGAGCTTCTTCACCGTATTCCCGCCAAGACCCTCGATGCCTTCTACAGCCGTGAGGCAACCAACTGAAAGGAAAGGAAGTAGTTATTTGTTGGACGACCTTTTTATCGATGAAATAAGAAAAAGGTTTTTTGTTTGTCTGTGGTTTGATTTATTATGTTGAAAGCCTCGGCTAATGATTCTTTTGCATAAGAGGCAGGGGGGTAGGCTATGTAATTTATGGTATTTAGTGGCTACTACGAGAGACTATTAGCTGTGGATTTGTGTTTTGGGAACAGCCCTGCCCTTATTATTCCTTCATTTCTGCTTACTTTATCGATATTGTTATTGTTGTATTGGATTGTTTTGTGCTCGTTCGTGAATGCAAGTTATTTGTTTCTGTTCTTGAAAATCATATATATTTTTTTAATTTTTGAAAATTTCCAAGGGGTGGTTTTGAATCCTTTCTTCAAATAAATCTATTATATACGATACGTTGCAACCAATGACCAGCTAATGTGGTGCTCTACTACTTAGATCTCGTATAGCCTAAAACTTCTTCTTTTTCTTATTATTATTATTATTATTATTATAGATGCAAAACGATGGTAAATGTCTATATGATACTTGTTACAAAACCAAAGACTTGTGTACCTTAATGCATAATCTAATATATAAAAGTACATTTCCTAATATAATGTAATTTAAACATCCCCCAACTGCTTAATTCAAATTACTATGCCATAGAAAATAATCAGATGAACAACACAACATGGTCTAAAACCAAACTACCAAAGAAAATGAAGAGGTGTTTCCTCAAATAAAGGCAACTTGGCAAGGCCCCAATCAAGGGTTGTTTCTTTTGGCTGAATGAGTAATAACGATTGTCTAGATAAAGAAATATACACATAAGGTATGTTTTTTTTAAAGACCCTTTTTTAGATCATATGAACAATCAGAATAAAACTAAATGGCCATTTTACCATTATCTTTCATTTTTTTACAATATTCATCAATTTTAACATGAGAAAAGTTGAGATGAAAAGAGAATATCAAATAGGTAATTGTCAGTGTCTTGATACATTAGGCTAGGTTTTTTAAACATTCATGTATTGCTATCCACGTTTAAGTGTTTAACCCATTAAGCCAAAAAGAAACAATCCTTATGCATAAGTACAACATATAAATGACCTCTAAGAATTAGATATTCTTAAACATAGACACATATGGGGTACAAGAGAACGTCTACTATATCTTGGAGAATTAAGATTAAGAACTATAAGAACATGAAGCACAAGAGAGAGATATATAATGGTTTTTTGTATTAATAAGAGAATTCAATACTTCGTGTGTGTGTCTTGCAAGTGAAAGGGGAGCCTACTTTAGAGCATCCTCTTTGTAGACGACGGAGGAGCCAATTAAGGAATTCTTCTTTACTTAAAATATGGATAACAACTTTGGTTAAAAGAAAAAACAATTCAATAGCTTACACTTTTATAAAGGTTTCAACACTTAACTTCCATTTTTGTTATGTTCATATGCAAAAAGGTAAAACCGTAAAAGTAAATTGTTTACCTGTTTGGCCACAACTGAGTATTCATTTGATAAAGGCACGGAAATGATGTGACTGCATATTTTAAAATAACCTCTAAATAATATACACTTTAAAAAAGAATAACCACTCAATAAATAAAACTACCAATTTTAAGAATTTCTTCCATTGTACAACAGAATTAACTTACCTAACACTAGGAGCAACAATCATGACTTGTAATAATCAGATAATCACTTTAAAAAGACACAATGAAACACCATTCCTAATACATGAAAACTATTATCAAATGTTATGTTTATCAACCTTTTTGTGATTTACATCTTTGGCTGCCTCCTTTGTTTGAGTAGTTAGAGACTGTAAAAGTGCCTTTTGTGAAGGCAATTCAGCAATAAAAAGTAGAGTCTGAGCCCATCCAGCATATCTCCCGTATTTTTCCACAAATGCATCTGCCACACGGCTACACAGCTTGGGTGTCAATTTTGTTCCAGCCAGCTCAGGGATTAAGTATCTGGTTGCAATCTTTTTTTATATAAAAACAAAAAAAAATACCAATATTTTAGTAATTATGTTTCATGCAATAAACCTTGTCATAAAGAGTACATGAATGAATGTTATGTAAATATAAGTATAAGAAGGTGGCTGACCTTCCAGACATGTGTATCAACAGGAACAGCATGGTGTTGATCTAAAGAGAACAAAGCAATGCAAGCAGCAACTTTGGGGCCCACACCAGGTAGAGTAGTAAGGGCTTCAATTGTGTTTTGAAGCTCTAATTCACGAAGAGAAGCAAGCCATGCTGCTCCTCCACCAGGTTTTGATTGCAGTGCTTGCACTGTGCCAGTTATGTACTTGGCCCTGTTTCATCAAACCAAAATGTATTTTCAATGTAAGGAAATATGCATTCCATGGGAATGAAAGTCTAACCTGTAGCCAAAACCAGCCTTTCGAAGCTCTTCCTCAGAAACTTTTGACAATTGATCCAGAGAGGGGAATTCATAAAACTCAATCCCTTCAACCACGCCCAGATGATTACCCAATGATGATATGAAATCAACCATTTGGGTTATCCTCTTAATATTGTTATTAGAGGAACAAATAAACTGAATAAGGCACTCAAGTGGGTCTTGCCTGAGCACTCTGGCACCGCTCAAATGCTCCGCCAGTTCAGAAAACCGTTGATCGGAAGCAGAAAACTCCTTCCATAAATCACTCAAACAAATACTCATATTAAGGAAATCCAGTAGAGCTGATTTAGCAGCAGTTTGATCGGAGGTGGGGGTGTTGTGAAAAGTATAAGCTACGTCAGTCCCATTTGCGTCTTGAAGTTGTATGAGGGAGACAAGGTGGGAGCCAACAACACCTGTGTATTGAAAAGGGGATGTCTGTTTCCACCTGAATGTTTGGCCGGTTGGGAATGTGAGGGGTAAAAAGAGCTCTGATTTGTTCAAATTGAGAGTTACCCGTTTGGGGGTTTTGAGGTCTGAAATAAGGGCTTTTCTAGGTTTCTTGGAAGAGTAGTATGAGGATATGGTGGAATTGGTTGAGGTGATTTTTGAAAGGATGGGTTCTCCAGTAGCCGTGGTTATTGACGGCGGCGACGGGAGGGGTCGTTGTCGCTTCATATATGTAATCATTCGATGAGTAATTGGGTGCTGAAATTTGGTTCGCTGCTTCAAGGACCTCTACACTGGCTGGCGATTGCTCACGACAAATTGTCAAACACCCTCTAGGATCTAAAACCGTTGTCGTGTCAATTCCTTATTTTTCAACTTTTTTTTCGCCCGTTCTTGAGTGGTAACGAGAAAAATGTAAAAAAATTGGTGTTACTTTTTAATTTACAAAATGATTAACTTTTATTCTACTTGTCTCAAATTTGGGAACATAATTTTCTTTTTTTCTTTTTCTTCTCTTCTTTTCTTTGTTTAAACTCGGAAACAAGACGTTTATGTCAGGTTGTTTATTAGGCTAGAGGGAGTGGTGGTGTGTCCTAAGGTATGTTAAGACATGCCACATAAACATAACATAATGCTAAGAAGTGCTAGCATGCTTTTGAAAAAAAAAAAACAAACAAATAAATAAATCAGTCAATCAAGAAAAAAGCTACAAATCATTCTCCCCTCTATCTTTCTCCTTTCTCCTCACGCTGATGAACCAGCAAGTTCTTGCTGACGCACACCCTTAACGCATGCTAAGGGGTGGTGTTCATGCATGCTAAGAGCTTTGGCGAGGACTCTTAACGTATCCACTTCCCAAAGCCTTATGGTTTAAAATTTGTAAATATGTGAATATTTTTGTCTTGTGTCATGTCAGAAAATTGATACACTAAATAGGTTCAAAGAATAGCAGTTTGAGAGGCGAAATATAAAATTTTAAAAAACTGAAAAAATAAGAGTCGGGAGTCGAACGAGAGAGGTCATGAGGACGAGGTAATGAGTGGTACCATGGAGTATGTGGGAGAAAGAACAAACTAAAAATTAAGTGTTACATATATGACAAAGTCGTTTCCACGTTACAAAATGATTCAGTCTAGATTTTTCTTGTATATTCGGTTTTGATTTTAGGTATTTCGTTTCAGATTAGCTTGTCGTATCGCTTTTTGATACCTCTAAGTAGAATACTCCTTTCGGAAAATTAATTTGGGCTTATGATATACAATAACTACGTCAACCTTTTGTTACATACGACTAAGCTTTTAGTTATATGTCGTGGTCATTAATTTGTTAACTTGTTCCAATCAGGTTGTGCTTCCTCGGTTTAACCTTGTTCGTCTCGTTAACATGTTGATGTGGCTTTGGATGGGTGGGCGAGCATTATTGTGACATCATTATGATGTGTCGCATTTTGATCTAATAATATCGAACACCCTTCCCTTAAATCTTTTCAAACAACATCACTGTAACATCCCAAAAATATGACCCAAAAATTTCGTTTTCAAATCATTACTAAAATCATAAACCATTCAAGGCATAAGTAAAAACATAAATCATGTTTCATAAAACATCATAATATCCGTCTTAGATCAAAATCTCATAGTAAAACATCAGAGTAAACTCCCAGGCTGTGATTGTGGTGTGTGTCATGCGATCATCCCGAGCCATTTCCCTTGTTAGTGGAAGTACCTGAAACCAAAACTGAAAATTGTAAGCACGAAGCTTAGTGAGTTCCCCAAACTACCACATACCATACACACATATCATGCAACTAAAAGATACGGGCCCCGCTCACACTCTGCTGACTCTGAGGTACGGGTCCCGCCCACACTCAGCTACTTCGAGATACGGGCCCCACCCACACTCGACTACTATGAGATACGGGCCCCGTCCACACTCATCTACTGCGAGATACGGGCCCCACCCACACTCAACTACTATTCCAATATACAAATATCACACAGACAACAAGTATACTAATTCTAACAGTCAAACATATATCCATAATCAAACTATATTGTGAGATACGGGCCCCGCCCACACTCAGCTACTGACATTTCATACTACGGGCCGGCCTTGGTGCCTTAGACCCGTTCCTACTGAAAGGAAACTCACCTCGTGTAACTGCTGTCGAAACACTACGCGGAAAATATCTGACTGTTGTTCCGGCGACTCTCCGGCTATAATTTCCACAATGACACTTAGTCAGAAACTAATAACTATCCTTAGGGTAAAATGATAATTTTACCCCTGGCTAAAATCCACATCCTGGTCAAAGTCAACTTCCAGTTGACCGGACTCGCCGAGTTGGCCCGCCAACTCGCCGAGTCCCAATCATTTCATCTATTCTCAACCCGACTCTACTCGTCGAGTTTAGCAAGACTCGACGAGTCCTCTTTCGATCATAATATCGGGACAATCTTCATCTGGCTCGCCGAGTTCCTCCCGAACTCGTCGAGTTTATCTTCATCAAATGAACGTGTCTAGTCTGTGACTCGCCGAGTTGTATGAACAACTCGTCGAGTCCGTCTTCATGAGTTAGGAGATGGCCTTGGACTCGCCGAGTACGTTCCTGCACTCGCCGAGTCCCATTGTTTCCAGTTCCATGGCTATGTCTATTCCGTTGAGTCCCTTCCCTGGACTCATCTAAATCCCTTCTAAACTCAACTGGGTTCCTCCTGAATCATAACAGTCGTGGGAACCAACCCACGACTCGCCGAGTCCCAAGAACGACTCGTCGAGTCTATGCATGTCCAAGTCTATAACTCGATTTCTGATGGGCAAAACTCATCCAGAAGGTAGATCTAGACTCCTAAGATCGGTATGACACGTAAAGTCCTGAACTTTACGTTCATGCATGGGACTTTTATGCTCAAAAGACCAAAAATGAGGTTTATTTCATACATGGGATTCTCATGGCCATAAAGATGGCACCTTTATGCCATGAGGACCCTCCAAGGTTCCAGATCTGAGGGTAAATTGACTTGGGACGTCCAAGTCTCAAGGATCAAGCTTCTTGGACCCAAAACTCCATAAAAGTGACAATAAGAAGATCTATGAAACTATCAGTCAAGTATGAAGCTTGATTACCATAAAAGATGTCAAATGGGATGAGGTTTCTGGATCTACTCTTTCTCCCTTGAATCTTCTAGCTTCCACCTCTTCCACTAACTTCAAGATACACCAAATAACTCTCGATATAACCAAGAAAGCTCAAGTTCACTTATGGAGGATTAGGGTTCGAGATTAATGCTCTGGAGGTGATGGAGGCTGGACAAGAGACCCATAATGTTGCTTAAATAGGGTGCAAACCCTAAATATTAGGGTTTCCCCAGACTGGCCTACTCGTCGAGTCAAGGTGCGGACTCGCCGAGTAGATCACTTAAAACCCGCGTCCAACTCCTGACATTTACTCGACGAGTTAGGGCTACTACTCGTCGAGTAGCTCTTTATAAAATGACATTTACTGAATTAAATATGTACCAGGAACGGGGCGTTACAATCACTCTCTCTTATCTTTAAAAAGTGATGATGCACTTCTTTGTTGTGACATTTGTCCTACTAAACTCACTCCTCGTTCCCATGCACAAGAAGCAAGACCACAAGTAAGGCATCTTATAAACCACTAGTAACGCGTTTTATAAGACATAATAAAGTTCTAAAATTAGTAAATTAACCTTATGTGGGGCGTATCGACATGGAGATGTACAAATACACCAACATGTAATAAAAATGCTAGCACAAATTATAAAAAGCTCGAATAATGCAGATGACTTTTTCCTTTTTATTAACCCAAGAATTTTGAATATAAAAGTAATAACATTCTACTACTATACAAATCATTATAGATCAACCATTTTATCAGATTCAAATTTTCTACTCCACACCTTAATTATGAGCACAAGCTCTACACTATCCCACTTTCTTTATGCTCTATACATGCCATCATAAAATTCCACTGAGAATGTTGTTTTAAAAAATTCTACAATTTTAAGGCACAAGAAAATGAGAAGGTAACCCGATAATCATTAAAATAAATAAAATTTAAAATATGCTTGACAAAACAATATAAATCAAACCAAATTGACTAAAATAAAATAAGAAAAAAGGAATAAAAATGCAAGAATCACAATTCAGTTATAATTTGTAACATGAAACACGTAAAATCTATCAACATATGTTTCTGTAACATCCTCAAAATGGTCCTAATTTTTTTTTTTGTATTTTTTAGTTAGCTTAATAATATATCTTAGTTATCATCGTACAACGAGTGAGATAACAAACATGCAACAAACTGCGTCACTAAGCCTTGCTGTATCATAAAGTCAATTCTTTTGAAGACTACATCCATAGATCTAGGGGATATAACATTGTTATGCATGATTTGTTGTACTCTATTAAGAAGCTCCACCGCATCCGGGGCGAGGAAACTAAACGTATCGAATGCAAATGGTATGGACACGTGTTGATTTTCCATGAATAATTTATCATGTTTGGTGACTTTGCCTATAGTAGCTTTTAAAGCAGTTTGTCCCGCTGTGAAACCCCCATCCATCAAGCCCACAAGAGGGGATACCCCTGTAAGGTCAACACATGCGTGTTTCCATCCAACAAACCTAAAAATCAAAATGTCAGCCGGTCTAAGAGTTGACATTCCTTCTGTCGGGTCAGTCAAGAAATTCACAAATGCCTCTTTCTTGGTGGAAACATTGACACACTTAAATATGCTAAACAAAACATCCCTAACCATATCGTGTCTGTATTTGAACCCCGAGAGTTATTTACAATGAACTACACACTTATATATGTATGTGTGTGTGCTTGTGTGTGTCAATTTTGTTAGTTTTGATAAAGTTTGAGAATAAGTATCATGAATATATGATAACGATTATATCATAAAATACAAACCGGAGAATGAACTCTCAACAACCTATCATAAATACAACACCTAACAAACTAGTAAAATACACCATTAAAATAAAACCTATGCAATGAAAACACTTGAGAGGCATTGAAAACACAACCATATCTACCATGTAATAAAGAAGGCACCACTAATAATTTTTAATAAAGGCTATTCACCTCAAATTTTTAGTTCACAACTATTTTATTAATAATACATTATGATCTTGCGAGTTCCTTAAACACCTTTTTATAAACAACTAGGCGAATATCCGTGCGGTGCGTAGAATATTATAGTATAATTAATATATGTTATTAAAAATAATTATGTCGAAATCATTGACTTTGAAATAATATTTTTTAGATTGTAATTACTTTAAATATAGAATAAGATAGATACATATTTAAACTAACTAATCTCAAGAGTGTTTATTATTGGATAGTATAAAATTTCATTAACTTTTGATTTATTGTATTATTTATTATTATGATAATTAAGCAATTTGTATAGCTATCTTTTAGAATTGTATTATCTTAATGATATACATCCAAACATGTTTTTGTTCTCTAACAATTATAGTTTGATCTATCATTTTTCTTCATAAAATAAATCAATAAATACTTTCTTTCATTCACCTACATCAATAAAAATTTACAATGTATATATAAAATTAGTTAACTTTGAAAAAGTATTTAATTACACATTTACATAGAGACAAATGTGAGTAATGAAGTAATTTTACCTAGAGAATATCACACCACAGAATATACTTCATGTCATCTAGGTATGATCGTCATGCGGGTAAGTCGGATTTTAGGTTATCAGTTTGATGTTTGTCACTTAACCGAACCATATTACTTCCGTTAATTTGCTTTTTGGTTATTCGGGTCCAGTTTGAACAAATTTGGTTTCGTTACTCGAATAACACACTAAATCCAAATTATTGCATTCGTCTTCTCTTACTCACGTAATCTCATCAACTTGTTTAATATCATCTTGGTTATTATATTTTGGCACCCATTAACTTGGTCAAGCTTTGCACTTGTGTACATCGATTCATGTTAATATATCATATATTAATATAGAGATATACTATATAGAGTAAAACATATGTAAATACTTATTTGAGTAAAAATATTAAACCACTCAAGTCACGTGTTTTAATGAATTAATTAATATAATATTATAACTTTTTCAATTAAAAGTAATTATATAAACAATAATCGCATTTTAAACCTATAACGTATTTATTTAGGTGAAAAACAATTAAGCACATGGGCTTAATAAAAAAAAAATGCTATAAGAATGAGCAATCTTGTCATTCTACTCAATTCGAAGAATTAATAATTAGAATCCTAATTATTTTAGAATCCTAATTATTATCTGAAAGTAAAAAAAATCTTGTTGGTTGAGAATATATGGTTGAGATGTATTACCACTCTAGATCTTGGTTTCAATGGAGATGTGAGAAACAACCCACGAAAACACACAAATAGAATACACAAACTTCATCAAAAGTGAGAATAATATTAATAATAAGAATAAAAAGATTACATGTATTAAATCGATAACAAACCTTGTAACAAAAGAATCCAAAAAAATTAGTGGCAATACATCCATTGATATTCTTTGCAAGGAAATGAAATTATGCATACACATACGTAAGATGTATTATGAGGAAACCTTGAGAGTGCAATGACCATGAAATACCATTAAGTAAATATAAGTTAAAAAATAAACATGATTTAATCAATTTGTTTCAAAAAAATACCATTCAGTATATATAAATACAATTTTTTTTTTTGAATGATTGTTATTAGTTATGTGGAAAATGAAAAGGTTTTTGAGGTTTCAAATGCATATGGTGTAAGAAAAAATGCCTCTTTTATAAGTATATATAAATATAAATGATACTAAAATATTTGTTTGGATTTCAGTCTTGGTGTTAGGGTTGTAATATTATAGGTCTTCCTAGAGGAAAACCTCGGTTAGTTGGAGATCATTTATTCGTGCAAACATTTTGCAGTTCATGGAGGTTACACCCCCACATTGGCTACAAAGACATTAATCATATAACCTTTATGTACGCCTTCATTTGGCATATTAAATATTAGGTTGTATGATATATTACATTGCACGAGGACTATTTGTGACTTAGGTGGCGGTTGACCACAATCGTGCACACCACCTCCAGTGCCATGACTATGGTGCTTCGTGGAGAGCGACATGAGAGGGAACAAACGGATGAAGGCTAACGTTCTATGTCTCTCCCTATATATCTTTGTTGCTTCCTTGCTTCTCTTTCTTCCCCTCTTTCTCTTCACTTCTCTTCTTTTTTGTTGGAAGTACACCAACCGACCACATATAGTGGTGTTGTTGTTGGATGATATGGAAAGTCTCCATGACTCCTTGGTGTGGGAAATATACCCTTTAACCTTAATGAAACTATTCCAATTTCCATGTTATCATTTGCATTTTATTTTTATGAATTTTTTAACTGCTTGTTAGCATCGCTAAATCAATAAATACAAAACAAATAAGGTTGAAACTGGTGAAATTAGAAAAATAATGTCTTGTGAGACAAAATAAGTATTGCAAGTCATTATAAAACGTTCACGAGTAATATTATCTACATAAATTATATAGGTTCGTTGTTTTAATCATCTTATCACGAATGGTAAAAATCGTTATAACAACCGCTCACGAATGGTAAAAGCATTTACATATGTCTATTTACTTTGAATTTATTGAATTTGAATAACTTGGATTAAGAATATTTGATATATCACCGTATATCAACGTATTCATCTTTATCGTTGTTATTTGTTTTTGAAATCCACATTGTTTAAGAATTAAAAGAAAAGAAAAGATACCGTTCATTGTATTTTTAATTAGGTTAACAATCATTATAAACTGTCGAAAAATTTAATATACATTACGAACTCACAGAGTTGTTCTTAGTGAACTCTATACCGCCGTGATCATGTTCACAACATATAAGAATATCAAGAATGCTTAGCACACTCATTTTATTGTAGGATTTATCATCATGAATTCACACAACAAGCTTGTTGATTGTTGATTGTTTATGATAAGAAATAAAATATTGTTATAAGGAAATGTATTATCTCAAAATATGTTCATTTTAATGGATATATATATATATATATATATATATATATATATATATATATATATATATATATATATACAAATTGCTCTGATTAAATACAAGTAAATAATGATACAAAACATAAAAGTGTAGTGGTCAAAGTATAAATTTTGCGTTTTTGCTTATTGGTCCTCTAACATCACTGTGTATACAGTTTTGGGTAGAAAAGGAAGATAAATTTTCTCTGCGCAATCTCGTTTTCTTGTGTTTTGGGGAAGATTGATTGGAAACCCTTCTCCCCCCCTCTCTCTATCGTGTTTTTCTTGTCCTCTCTCTCCCCATACTTCCACCATTCACGGACCCCACAATTCCTCTAAACCCCTTCTTCTCCCCCTTCCTTCTCTCTTTTCCTTTCTCTCTCTCGCTGCAATAATGCCAGCCTCCTCCTCAGGTACATATACACCCTTTCTATATATACACATATGTATATGTGTGTGTATATACACAATAAAATTGGAACTTCTAAGGTTTCAATTCTTTTTCCATTTTCAATTTGAGCTTTGGGATAACTTCAATTTTGGTTTTGGTTTCGATTTGGATGTGGATTTTGATTTTCTACAGAGACTAGGAACAGGTGGAGGAAACGGAAGCGAGGAGAGCAGTCCCGAAAACCTAGACCGCAACCCCAGCACCAGCACGATGATGACGATGAGGATTATGAAGAAGAAGACGATGCCGACCTCGATCAACAGAACCAGCATCCCGAATTTGATGATGACCACAGTAATTCACCCGATCCTACTGCTGCCACCGGAGCAGTAACTGAGGTCATATCCGATGGCGCCGTTCGAATCTCCACCTTCCCTTCTGTAATCAAGCATACGGTAAATCAACACCATTACTCGGTGATTCAGAGTGTTGCCAGGGAGAGAGCTTGCCGAGCTGGAGACAGTAGCAATGGTGGCATGAACTGCGTCTTCTTGGAGAATATTTCTCACGGCCAGCTACAGGCGTTGTCTGCCATGCCTAAGGATGCTCCAGCTTTGACTGGCGGAGACTCAGAAGGGTCTTTTGTAATTACACCACCTCCAATCATGGAGGGTCGTGGTGTTGTCAAGAGATATGGTTCAGATCGAGTACATGTTGTACCAATGCACGCAGGTATGTAGAATCACATGTGGGCTTCCATTTGTTGTTATCAGGTTTTGTTGATTGTAGGCACTTTCTTACCTACATGGGTTTGTATCTTCCTCTCATTTCAAGCAGATTGGTTTTCACCAACAACTGTAAACAGATTAGAGAGACAGGCAGTGCCCCATTTTTTCTCTGGGAAGTCACCAGACCACACTCCAGAAAAGTACATGGATTGTCGCAACCGAATTGTTGCTAAATACATGGAGAATCCAGCAATGAGGTTGTCAGCTTCTGAGTGCCATAGTTTTTTAGCTGGTGTTGATGCTGATGATGTAACTCGAGTTGTAAGGTTTCTTGAAAACTGGGGTGTAATCAACTACTGTGCTGCTCCACCAAATCATCATGAACCTAGAAATGAAGGCTCATATCTGACAGAAGATTCAAAAGGAGAATTAAAAGTGCCAGCAACTGCTTTGCGATCTATTGATAGCTTAATCCAATTTGATAAACCAAGATGTAGGATAAAAGCAACAGATATATATCCAGAATTAGCTGTTGATAGTGATGAAACATCTGATTTAGACACAAGAATTCGTGAGCTATTATCTGAGAATAAGTGCAATCATTGCTCTAAATCTCTTGGTATTGTGTACTATCAGTCTCTCAAAGAGGTAATTCACCAACCCTTTTGTACTTTTCTCTTTCTTGTTTTGTTGAAGCTTTAAACTTTATGGTGATACATTTTGTTTGGCAGATTGAGTCACTATTATGCTTGAACTGTTACAATGAGGGGGAATTTGTTGCTGGTCATTCAAGTCTGGATTTTATCAAGGTTGATTCCACAAAAGATTATGGAGATCTTGAAGCAGACAGCTGGACCAATCAGGAGACATTATTGTTGTTGGAGGCTATGGAACTCTTCAATGAGAATTGGGTTGAGATTGCTGAGCATGTTGGTACCAAATCAAAGGCTCAATGCATCCTCCATTTTGTACGCCTTTCTATAGATGAGACTCCTTTGGAAAATCTTGAAGTTCCAACTGCTTCAAATTTGCCCAATGGGAATTCATGTGCAAAACCACAATCATATGCAAATGGGAAAGGTATATTTGTGTTTTCTATTTGGGAGGTTGGTTAACTAATTGAAATTATACCTGACATATTGTTTGTGAATATAGCATCTATTATTGAAGACTCTGAATTTGAAGAGAGATTGCCATTTGAAAAATCTGGGAATCCTGTAATGTCTCAGGTGAGTTGTCTTTTCTAAAGATATTATATATATCTTGAAATATATTAATTAACCTATAGTTATATTTCTGTTTGATTTTTCTAGGTTGCTTTTTTGGCATCTGCAGTGGGACCAAGAGTGGCTGCAGCTTGTGCCCATGCATCATTGGCAGCATTGTCTGAGGATGATCATCTAGGTGATTTGGAAAATGACGAATCTGGGTCTGAAAATAGGTATTTTTCCTCTAATGATTTATTATTATTAGCTTTATGCCCTTTTGAGGTGGAAGTAATTTCCTATGGGATGCATGTTTTTGCTCTTTTTGTTATAGTTATTGAGTTGCTTTGCATTAGTGTCTTATTAGTCTTATAGACTGAAGTTTAGTAGGTTGTATGCTAGGGAAAGCAAATATATTTGGATTTTACGTTTTAGTTAGTAGTCAGCTTTGAACTCTTTGATAGGAAGAATCATATATACTAATGACTTGATGATTCTAAAACACATTCAATTAAAGAAATTGTTAATGACTTGTTAATGTAACGAACTTACACATGTTTACCAAATCATGCAACAAAGTGAATTTTGTAACGATTTATGCAGAGCCATGATTCAGTTTGTTATGAGCTCTTTTACCGATTTATGCAATAAAGTGGAGTTGTTACCAAATTTGTGTATGGGGATTTTTTTTTGTGTATGTCTTGAGGCTACAAAAAGATTTTTAGATCAATTCTAAATAAGGTAATTAAATCAAGACAACCTAATTCATACATACACTTGTCAAGTTGGAGCAAAGATGTGAATCACAATCACCCCAACTTATTACAAACAAACTTCATGTATGCTTTCTACTGATATTTGTAAATAGCAATTCCCCGTCTCTAGTTTTTGTTCAAATAGTAATTTCAAGAAATCTGGCCATTTGTTGTTGCATCATTTGATTTGGGTTTCTGTTATCGACATTAGATCAGTTTATATATATATATATATATATATATATATATATATATATATATATATATATATATATAGAGTCAAGATCAAATAAGAAGGAAATTTTTGGTAGGAAGGTAAGAAGTTTTTTTTCTACATATTTTTTTCGCGAACAAACAAAATGAATCATTAGATGATTCATTTGTAAGATGATTCACAAGAAAAAATTCTCAAAAAAACATCTCGATGATTCATTTATACAATGAATTTGTTGTTATTCACTAAAATTGTCATAAAAGTGAATTTTTTCTTAATTTACTTATAAATGAATCATAAAGATGTTTTTTTGGGAATTTTTTCTTGTGAATCATCTTACAAATGAATCATCTAGTGATTCATTTATTTTGTTCGTCAAAAAAATATATAGAAAAAAAACTTCTTACCTTCCTACCAAAAATTTCCTTCTTACCGGATCTATATCCTGAATCAATTTGATTCAAGATACTGAATCAATATAGCAACCGGATGAGGTCCTATTTTGGGTTTTGGTTGTTTATGATTTAAACTTTTGTGGGTTTAATAGTTGATACTGGAAATGGAAAGTTTATGATTGATGCTTAATTGAAATGGGATAGGGTGCTCACCACTTCCAAGATACAAGGCATAAATATGAGTTGGAATCCCACCAAAAAGATTGCATGACATGAAAGAAAGTTTAATGCTTAAATTCCATTAGGAACTCAACTTGTCTTCTCTGACCACAACTTTACAAAAAAACAGAGTCCTTGTGTCTGGGATTGGGATTGGTTTGTTGCAGCAATTGGCAGTGAATGTGTGTTGTGGTGGTTGTATTTGGTGACCATCTGAAACTGAAAAAGGCAATCTATTTCTATTCAGTTATACTTTACTTTCTGCAACTCTGCTATTGTCAGTTTTGGTCAAGTTATCTCAACTCAACACATGCTTTTGTCCCCTTTTTACTCGGCTTTATTTCTTCTTTATTATGGGCTCGCATTTCACCTTCGGTGGGGTGGAGGTACGATCATCTACATCTCACCTTCCCCTTACGCTGTCTGTGTGGGATTTGGATTTGGAAGTTGCTAATGATATTAGTATTATGTTTTGCTAATTGTTTGGTATGTTTTTCTAAATTGGAAAATTATATTTATGCATTAAAACAATGCTTTTATCATATTGTTTTTTCTGCTTACCTTGTCACCCTAAAAACCAGTGGCTAGGAAATCAAAGACATAATCTTTTTTTCTAATTTGAGAGTTGCGTTTTTGAAGGGTAAATTCGGAAAACATGAATGGTCGTGCAGATCCCAGAAACCCAATTCAACAGAAAGGTAAGTAAGGCCTTGACTTGAGTTTATTGATGTCTTGTTTTTTTCTTACTTATTTCTTTTGATGATAATATAATAATAATAATTCTCAGAAGGTGAAGGAGGTAGTAGTAATATCAGTCCTGAAAAGATGAGGGATGCAGTAAGAGCTGGTCTTGCTGCTGCTGCAACCAAAGCAAAGCTTTTTGCAGATCATGAAGAACGAGAAATTCAAAGGCTATCTGCTAATATCATCAATCATCAGGTATCAATTTTCTTCATTTTTTTTTTCTTTTTTTAATAAAATTCTTTAATCATTAAAACCACTATGTTTATTTTCAGTTAAAGAGGTTAGAGCTGAAGCTGAAGCAATTTGCAGAAGTGGAAAGCTTATTAATCAAAGAATGCGAACAGCTCGAAAGGGCAAGGCAAAGGGTCTCAGCCGAGCGAGCACTCACCATCTCCTCCCAATTCGCTGCTGGCGGCACAACCGTCAACAGACCAACCGGCATGCCAGGTGTCGGCCCCTCATTGCTCAACAACACCGCCGGACCTAGCCGCCAACCCGTCTCTGTCTCCGGGTCGCCAGGTCAGCCATTTATTTCAGGGTTCCCCAGTAACCACCACCCACAGATGTCTCATTCTCAACAGCAGCAGCAGCAACCTATGTTTGGGCTGGGCCCACGCCTGCCCCTCTCGGCAATCAACCCATCTCCGCCATCAGCCGCCCATCCCATGTTGAGACCCGTGTCGGGAAGTAGATCTGGTTTTGAGTAATTAAAAAAATGATTTTAACTTTTTTTTTTTTTTTTTTTTTTTTTTGTTTTTTACTTTTCTTGAAATGACACGAGGGAAATGGTTAATCTTGGAGGTATTTGTTGATTAGGCTTTTTTTTTTTAATCTCTTTCTTAATGTTATTGTGACTGAATTGGTATGGTGTTGTACAGAGATATTGATTATGTAGCAAGTTTAGCATATGCTTTGTGTTGTGGACATGACATTAGCTTATGGAAAGAGACCTTTTAAGTTACTGATTAAGAAGCATTTGGATAACAACTGCTTTTGGTTTCTTCATAGCAACGTGTTCATGTTGAACCTGTGCCATGTGTGTCCTTTGTGTCTGGTGTAATGGTGTTTTAACGTTACTAAAGCCACATGGCAATATTGATATCTAACGGGTTTGGTAATTGGCATCAGGCACTAAGATCACACTCAAAGTGTATTGAATTTTAAATTCAATGTCATTGAAAATTGATACCATCGTCCATTTATAACCATTAAATTGTAATAAACTCTTGAGATAATGATGAGGATGATCTAAGAAATAACATATTCAATAGTCCTCATGGCTGATAATTACTTTCCTCATAATCCTTTTTGTTATGTACTAGCAGGTTTACATGTTGGATAATTGGACATATGGTTTGTTTCTTTGTTTCCATTAAAACCACTCTTGATGTTCATCTAGAACTAACAATGTACAACAACAAAAAAAACCAAAGTCTTATTTAGGTAAGGGAAGATATCAAGATAAGATGGAAGGTTGTCAAAAATGTTTCAAAAAAAAAACAACCGGCAAAAAAAAAAGAAATGAAAAATGAAAGAGGAAAAGACAAAACTACTTGTTGAATAATATTTGTCATACATATTAAACGTCAGTCCATCATCAAATTCTTCCTAATAAATAGAAATAATTTTCCTACTTGTCATCTTCTTATGTATTATGATGCCACATGTCATTTTATAATAAATTTAGATTAAATTATATCCATGTGTTATTTTGTGGTTTTTCTATTTTATTAAATTTCATATAATACTTAAATGTAATAAATGCAGTGTTGCAGAAATCGGCCTTGGCAACTGATTAATTGCTTCACGGCCTTGAACCGATTAAGTTTTCAAAATTTAAAATATTATACTAAAATTTTCAAAATTTCATATTTTTAAAAATTTAAATTTTCAAATACTTAAATTTTTAGGAAATATTAATTTTTTTAATAATTTTTTTTTATAATTTAGGATCCCCGATTAATCGCCGATTAATCCCTGCCTAGTCCAATTAATCGTTTATCGCTAGTCGACCGCCGAACGATTTTTATAATATTGAATAAATGTAATAATAAATATATATCCAATTCATTAATACAACTTTCCTTATAATTTATAAATTTATAAATTGAATCTAATTATGTTAGTTGTTATTTATTTAAATTATTAGTTGAAATTTAAAAGATAAATAAGCACTTCAACTTTAATAATTAATAGTTTACTTTTTTTTTCTTACAAATTTTAATTGTCTAAATTGTTAGATCTTCATGTTTGTTTATTTTTTGAATAAACCAATGTAATAAATGAGTCTCACAACTAGTAATATAAATAAATAAAATAAATAAATGAATAATCAATAAATTAAATAGGTACAAGTTTTGGGGAAAACATGTGCTCATTGTATATGTACACAAACAAAATAAGCAAATAGGAGCAATAAGACATGAACAAATATTGCAAACAAATAGAAGCAATAAGCCACAATACTTTGAGCAAAAAGCATAAGACATTAAAAAGGGAAATATATGAAAAACTCATATGAATACAAGCACATACAAGGTCAGCTTGAAAAAGCTATAAGTACAAACCATGTAAGCAAATACTAGCAATAAAGTATGTAGAAACAATAACTATAAAGCTTTGAGTAGAAACTAGTAAATAAAAAGACAGTAAGTAAGAGGGAACAAATATTAGACTCATATGACTACAAGTGAAAACAAAAACCCGCTAGAAAGGACAAATATTAGACTCATATGACTACAAGTGAAAACAAAAACCCGCTAGAAAGGACAACAGGTACCAACAAAGGTACAACTCAAATAACTACTCCTATGTGACATCCCCAATTTCACGGCCATAAAAGACCGATTTATTTATGCTTATTTAAAATGAGTATCATTTTTAAAGAATAAAATTGCAGAATTTGTTCCCAAAAACATGATAATGATATTATTAAAACACTTCCGAAGAAATGTATTTTATTTATATTAAAAACGTTGGGATGTCATCGTTAATAAAGTACATAAGCATAAACAGAAATAATACAAGTCTTACAAACATCTGTTAGTCTACTGGCCTATAATCCATAAATCTCTCATCAATCATCACACCTGTGCTCTTGTGCCGCTACCTGTGATACAAGAAACTGAATGAGTCAGGCTTGGGAGCCTGGTGAGCACATAGGGTTTTCAAAACACAATATTGATTTATTTTCATCAAATCATTCAACCCGATTACCCATTCCTGTTATCCTCACTATATGTCCCTAAAGCATCTAATTCAAGGGACATATACTAAGGATCATCTTCAGGATAAATAATAATGCTTAGGGGATTCCTTAGAAGTATATGTCAACAAGGCAACCATGGGTCGGGATGGAGTACACCTGGTGAACACTTAGTTCAAAAACACCTACAGGTTGTGAGCCTGCCAGTGTTTCACTAGACTGTCTAGAATACAAGGGTACCACGACGTGGCAGTCAAGCCGAGTTGAATTTTCTTGACCTTTTTTCCCTTTTGTCTAAATTTGACCTTAATGGTACTTTGGGTATTTTGAGAAGTTGATGGAAATTGGTCACTTGGTGGTTGTAGGCTTTGAGTAGAGAGTTGAGATTCGGAGTCAGACCTTGTCAGATCCGTGCAGCTTGTGAGGTGAGTGTTCCTCACTATACTTGTTGGGTCGAAGGCACCAAGGCCGAACCTTTTTGGATTGATTATCCTGATTGTTGCATGATTGAGTATTATAGTGAACTGTAAGATCTGTATCCTGATAGATATGCTAATTATTGATTTGTAAGATCTGTCTGTTTGTCGGTTGATTGATTATATGTTTTTGAGTTATGTATATGTCGACATGTGTGTTGTGGTTGGGTTGAGGCGGTCCTGCTTTGTGCTGAAGGCCAACAGACCCAGGGCGGCCTGGATAGACTGAAAGCCTATGAGGCGGACCAGTCAGGCCGAAGGACCGGAGAACGGTCCAGACAGGCTGAAGGCCCTGTGCGGCGGTCCAGACATGCTGAAGGTTCTGTATGCATGTTGTTGCTGTGGTATTTATGATTATGTGTTGTGGTGGTATTTTGGGGGAACTCACTAGGCTTTGGGCTTGTAGTTTTGGATTATGTTTCAGGTACTCTGAGGATCGCGAGAAGGCGAAGGCGTGATCGTGCACCTCCTCGTGTTTTGTTTCACTTTTTGGGACTTCTCTGATGTTGAACCTATTTTGAAAACAATTTGTAAACAATGATGGTTTTTGATCATATTGAAAAGTTTAAAATTTTCTTGAATTTTTTGAATGTTATAGACGCACGCTTCTAGAAGGTGAAAACGTGAACCACAGAGAGGCCGACACGTGGCACAAAGTGGATGGGGAGACGTAGCCTTAAAATGCATGACGTGCACCCCTTTTGCATGCTGCGTACCCCAAAATCGTCTATAAATAGAAGGCCAAGCCTCATTTATTCCTCACACCCCTAAAATTCATTCTATCGACTTCTGCTTTGCCTTGGTCCTATTTTCCTTTATTTCTAATATATCGACAAAGCCCTACGACCCCTGAGTGCCCGACAAGTAGTAGCTTTCGAGTAAAAGCTCTGACACTGCAATTTCCAGACTTTTGTCTAGGGAATCTCTGTAAGTTAAATTACACTCTAACTTTATTTTAGTGTAATTTATATTTAAATTCATAGTCGTTGTTATAAATTTATAAATAAGATTTGTTAGTGATTCCAACGTCATATTACTGATTGATCTACTTACGGAGATGATGTCTAGGCTGGATTTAGTGAGGTGTTTAAAGTGGGATTTCCAAACAATATACACTGTATACCAAACAGATCCTACCTCCGATATGATCCTACCTGGTTATCCCTTATCAAATATAGATCAATAGACATTGGGATTATTGCAAAATCTAGGCTATAATGATTATAGTTGCCATAATCATGAAACTAGACTAAGACTTAGCATTATGTACATCTAGGTCTTTTGGAAAAGTGTTAAGGCGAGGCACTGCCCTAACCTCGATTCATCTACTGTTATCAAGTGAGTGCATAGTTACTTTAAAACTTACGCATATATACAAGTATTCTAATTGCTTAAATGCTATGTGCACTATTTTTTTCTGTGTTTTAATATATTTGTACAATATGATATGATTGTTACTTGATCTAATCATATACTTAATAATATAATTGGGTAGTAAAGGGTTATACGTAATAATAAATGAGAGGCTGTGCGAGGGCTATGTAAGTTAGCGATTGTGATAGGTTAAGTGAGAGTTGTGAAACTTAGTAAATCGTGACCTGTCGTGCCTATCCAAAGTATTATTATACCGCCGTGCCTAGCCGAATACTGTTGTACTGCCATGCCTATCAAAGTATTATTATACTGTCGTGCCTAGTCGAGTACTATTGTACTGTCGTGCCTATCCAAGTACTTTTGTACTGCCATGCCTATCAAAGTATTATTATACTGCCGTGCTTAGTCGAGTACTATTGTACTGTCGTGCCTATCCAAGTACTTTTGTACTGCCGTGCCTATCCAAGTACTTTTGTATTGCCGTGCCTATCCAAGTACTTTTGTACTGTTGTGCTTATCCAAGTACTATTGTACCACCGTGCCTATCCAAGTACTTTTATACTGCCGTGCTTACCCAAAATGTTATCATACTGTCGGCATAGATCCTTTAGGAAAGATCTCTCAAGATCGCTACTCTAGGATTAGAAAGTGA